CTTTACAGAGACAAAAAAGAAAGGCATCTTTATCCTAAGTAGCAGCTAAGGAGATTGGAAAAACTAATAAAAAAAAAATCAACACCAAAATAAGTAGCAGCTAAGGAGATTGGAATAACTAAAAACAAAAAATCAACACCAAAACCTTAAAAGAAAAAAAATTAAAATCATCAAAAAACCCAACCCACCAGCACACAGTAAAGGCAGCCTGGGTCATTCCAACCAATCACAGGAATAACTAAAAAATATTTTCAATTGCAACTAATGTGCTATCTTGAGCCATCTGCCTTTTCTAACAGGCCTGAGGTCTTCTGCTCATAAAGCATTAATAATATGAGCCTTTTCCTAGAAAGGAAGGCTCTGCCTAAGTCTTACTGTGTCAGATAAAAAGTCCCAAAATAGACATACTGACCAAATAAAGTGTTTTATTCAGATATTCACTTGGACATGGCAGTGATGTTAAGACCAGCTATTCAAGTAGCTGAAGTAAGCCCTTCAAAAGGAGTCACACAGCTTTGAGACTTGAACAAATTATTGTATGATCTCATCCAAGCTAAATAGCTGGAACATCTGCCAGAGTCACCACCAATTTATTTAGCAGAGTTCATCAGCAGTTCATCAGCTCTGTTTGCACAAGCAGGTGCCAGGGCAGTCACTAAAGAGTCCTATATATGACTTAAAAAGAGGAGAGGGGGAGGAGAGTGGAACAGAGATGGGTGATTTTACTGTCTAGCATGGATGTGCATTAGTGGGAAGAAAATCCCTGTTAAATCAGGGCAGTGACTATTACTGAAGGAGAAGGGCAGACATTCTTTATTTCCCAGAGAAGTATTACATGCACAAGTAACTATATTGTTAAAATTTTTTATTTGTGACAGTAAAGAAACCATTCAATACCTGATTGACAACACTTCTCTCTCCTGAAAACACTCATATGGTATCTGTAGTGTTTCTCAAGTATCGCTGGATTGTTCATTGCATTAAAGTGTAAACAGCTCCATTATTAGAAAAAAAAAAAAGGAAAAAAAAGAAACATTTCCATTGCTTACTCCTCTGTTAAGAAGCTCCCAATAGATCTTCAACAAGAAAGAGAAAAAGTCAGCTGGATTTTTACAATATCATGTGAAACAGAAAACTGACAGATGGTTTTGCATAGTTAGCCCAGATATTTTTTTAATTTTTTTTTTTTTTTTTTTAAGCAATTGCCCCACACAAGTCTCCCCTGCCCTCCTCACCCCACAAAGGCATTAACAACATCACAGCACCTTGGAAATCAGAGGCACAAACTTGGTTATTTTTGTTTTACAAATAGGGCTGTGCGGTACTGTGGTTTTATTAGTCTGAAAAGGATCTGTAAAACACAGGGTCATGTCTCTGTCAATACAGATTTTTTTGTGTGGTTTTGGGTTTTTTTTTTTACACTGAAATTTCAAAAGCTGCAACATCAGTACACACCAGTGTCATTTAGATACTTTATTGTCCCCAAACCAGTCTAATCAAAATCATGCTGTGAAAAAAGTGACTGCACACACCGATAACCAAATCTCTTCAGGTGTTGAGTTTCTTCCATGTGTAACTGCTGGTTTTCTTTGTTTTTGGTGTTTTTTTTTTTAAAAAAAAAAAGGGCAAAACAAATAAGACAAATTATTCTTCCAAAGCTACCTAAAAGGAACACAGCAACATTGTACATTTGCTACCACCTTCTATTCAAAACTCTGCCAACTCTTTCCTGGTGGTTACCGAGTGTTCTGCGCACAGCCCTAGTTTACAAATGGCAATTAAATCCTAACACTTCAGTTGAATTTCAAGAATCAAAGGCATTCTCTGCCTTACAGCTTAATTTAAAAATACCTATACAGGCAAAATAAAACCCCTTTTTTTTTTTTTTTGAACCCGACATAAAAAGGACAACAGAACTTCAGGCCAGGCAGCATTTTTTTTTTCTTCAGCTCAACAGAATTGACCCAACTGGAAAGACTTTGTAATACTTTTAGAATATCAAGGGATAGAATTGGAATCCAGGGTTTATAACAGCCCTGGTGACCTGCATGCATGAACTGCACTGCAAAATATACAGAAGGTTTAGGAAACAAGGCTTTCTTTTTCCTATTTTAACATCTTGTATTTAAAATACAATCAAATACCCGTATTGCAAATTCCACAAACATTCCACTCGTTAGCTGACTTTAGGGACAGGACTATATTGCTTTGCTGGAATCTAGGAATTCTAAATATATGTGTATTCACACAAATTTCACACTTGAAATGTCAAGTACGATGACAGTGTCAAAAATAAACAATGATGACAGTGTCAAAAATAAACAACTATGACAGTTTGTGATCCCTTTGGCCAAATCTGAATACCCAGGGAAGTCCAAACCTGACTGCAGAGCACTCCAAGTTTGATTTCAATGGGAATGAGGTACAAAAATGCTAAAAATTCATCAGAAGTTACAGAAAATACTCTTTAAGAGATGAACTGAGATCAGAACTGTTGCTCAATTTTTTGTATTGTCACCAAGTGTCACAATAATGATGTACTAAGATAAAATAAGGTGTGGGGTTTTTTTTAATTGTGAATGTCAAGAGCCAAAATAAACAATAAAAACCAAGTATGGTTGTACAGAACATCATCAGAACCGTTCTCCCAGAAGCTGGTGCAGAAGCTCAGTTGTCCATTCTATGCGGATTTTAAAACAATACAAGACACTTGAATAATCAACATTCATTCACAGACTTAAGGCAACTGGTTCATGAAATCACTGCTTTCAGAAATGCAAACTAACAACATGGTTTGTCTCACCTACAACAGGTCACAACCGTTACATGACAACATCTCAGGGGGTTGTTTATTGTCTTAGTTTGGGAGATTGTTTGGTCTAACGCTAGCGAGAAAAGTCTTTGAATTGTTTTCAGCCATTCCTATCACACCTGCACAACTAACTACAACCTGAATACTTCCCTGCAGACTGGATTTGAAGCCCAGAAGCTACAAACACAGTTGAAAATACTGCTCAGAGAACAACTTTTTTTGGCAGCTTACAGTTTCATTACTCTGAAGTCAAATACAAAACTAAACCACCTTCAGCCCAAAGGAAAAGTTGATGGACTAACCAGAATCCACACGCCTTTCTTTTTTTCCAAACAACATCATTTTTCTTGGTTTGTTGTTTTTTTTGACAGTTTTGTCTTTTGTGGCACAGAACGATACAGTACTAAGGTAATGCCAGCTGGTAAGAAAACAAAAGGGTGATGCTGTACAGACTCACAGGACTGTCTCCAACACCCCTCTCTGCAGGCAACAGCTGGAGCACAGCTGCACTGCAAGGGGCAAGTCACCAGTCAGCTTTATACTGCACCCACAGCCAGCTGCTCACTGCCTCTGTAGGCTGCCCTGCCCTTCTATGAAGTGATTTGTGAAGCTGCTTCACTGATGCTCTAGACAAGGAGGACAATCCAAGTCCAGCACCAAAATCTTGCTTCCAAGCCCTCAAGACTTTGAGAAAAATCGAGAAGGCGAATCCACGATTGGGAATTTAGCATAAGGCTAATTAGAAGCACCAACTACTCCATTGAGTTTGCTCTGGTGACAGCCAAATATAGCTGTGATTTTTATGCTTGTAGATTTCTGGTGTGGAAAATAATTAAAAGGTGACACTGGAAAGGAAAAACAAACAGGTGTGCCTTGTTCTTCAAAAGCTTAAAATATTTAAATGTTATTCTTTTAAAATGGTACCAATGACACTGCAGAAGATGTTCTCAGATTCAGAGATGAGACTTACTCAGCTCCAAAGCCAGAGGACCACTTTTTGGCCTAGGGCTAGTAACTTCTGCCCTTCTTGCAAGATTTGATAAAGCCCCGAGTCTGTACCTTACACCTTGGGGAAGAAATACCAATCAAAGATATGGGAAAAACACTTTGGAATTTTCATGCACCAAAGAGGGGGCTTCAACCCAATGGGAAGAAAAAGAAATAAATTTAAAAAATCCTTTGCAGGTCACCTTGAACTGAGTTCTCTGGTATATCAAGATACCATAGGATAAATACGTAGGGGTGGGTAAAGAAGCCTGCATTTTATTTATTGCCCAAGTTTGCAGCTTACAGAAAATGTTTCATAGCACAGGCACAGTGGCAAAAACAGTATAACAGCCGATGGTCAACTCCATTTGGTGAGCATACAGTAGCAGCAATTAAAAGAAAAAAAAAGTACTCCAAACAGCTCAATACAGATCCAGCTTACCCAGATGGGTATTGTGAAGAAAAGAATCTGAAACTAATAAATAGATCTCCTCCCCGTTCTCCCAGGATAATGGTTTTCCCAACAACGAGAGGCATGGCAGTTGTGTGTAAGCAGAGACAACAGAACTTCATCTGTCTAGAATGAAAAGGTGCTTCAGATCTGTTCACCACCTTATTTGCTCAATTCCATCATTCCCTCACACTCAAACAACTGCAGATATGTTCAAAACTGTGCCCAAAATCGACCAGTGAAACAACCGTGTAAATGAACCCAAATCACCCCTCCCACGAAGGCTTCAACCTTCTGAGCATGACAAAGTGTAACACAACTTAATGTCATCGTGGAGACAGGAACCCAGCATCATCTTGGTTTCAACTTCTTCCTTTGTTATATATTACAGTGCTCTATAAAATTTTTCCTTTTTCCTTTTAAAGCATTTAGACAATACAAGACTAAAAGATGTCTGGAAATACGTCTTATACAAAAATGAATTTTTATCTTAAAATAACATTCAAAAAGGCACTTCATTCTGTAAGAAAAAATTCAGAGTCAGGTCAACTGCTCTAAGCAGGGGGGTAAAATTGTCTGCATAGTGGGAGGGGAAGAAAGGAAGAGAAATTCAACTGCTGAAATACAAGCTTCTTTTTTGGCATGTTTTAAGAAAAGCTGATCCAGTAAAAGATGTCCATTTATGAAATTCATTAAAAGAGTCCCATTTAAAATAGCTTCTTTTTTTTTTTTTGTTTGTTTGTTTTTGTGTTGTTGTTTTTTTTTTTTCCTTTAAAAAAGTAGTCTGAACACATGACCTTAGGAGTCAGGCTTCTGAAGGCTTAATAGCATCACTCATGATTGTCCTTCGTGTCCAATGTAACAGGAAGATCAAGAGTAGCACTTCTGACAGGGGTGACCTCCCCAAAGCTTACATTTGAAAGAGCTGAAAAAGATGGAGACAGCCTCTAGCAACTGCAATCTAGTAGCAGAAGTCAGTCAAAAGTTAAGGGCTACCTGTTGCAGAGTTTATGAAGCATACTGTAAACTTCTTCCTCTTTGCTTAGTCCTTCAAAGAAAGGAATAAGATCTAGCAGCTCTGTGTCTGTCATATCATCAAACCAGGACTGCACAGGCACCTGCAACAAAGCAACCAAGACATGACTTTATGATGTGAAGAACAAGTGAGTTTTGCCTCTGGAGATGTCCTGGAATACTCACTGCCAACAGAGCAAGGGAAATTGCTACTCATTAGCATTCAAAACCAGTACTATGTTTAAGTCCACATTTTTTAGCATGCAACATCAACCCTAAATCCAACTGTTAAACAGTTATCATGCAGCTGACCTTCTCCTACACACCCAGACAACCTACAGGACCCAACATTGAGCTCAATTTGCTCTGCAAGCTTAATATTCAGAACAGACTGGAAGGAAGATGGAGGTTCTGAAGCTGTACAGCCACTTTTCTTTACAGGCAAGTCTTTATTTCCCTCTTAAGTATTATCAGTGTGAGTCACTAAACACAAGCATGCAGCAACAACCCCTCTGGCTCCAGGTTGCAGAGGAAATATTTAAAGAGTGAGTATGAAACAGTTCTCCAATTAAAATGTAAGACCTTGAGAGTGGGTTTGAGAAAATAATGGATATGATAACATTTCTTTAACATGCAGGCTGGATTTGGGGAAGGAATTTTGTGTATCTTCACTACGGAAGCACACTGAGATCTTTTAAAGACTATCTTGGATCTTGTAACAAGCTCTGGTTTCTGCAGAGACTCGAGTATCAGTTAGCTAGCAGCACTTTTCTATACATGATTAAACCACTCTGACAGGGCCCTTAATTTCATCTCCCAAATTTCTACAGCTCATTATTTTCTAGGCACTGAATTCCAAGATACCAAATGACGATCTGGATCAGGTTTTTAATTTTAACCATGAACATAAATTAGAGCTACAGCTCCTGGTTATTATAAATAGAAGCTTTAAACCATGTGTGGCACCAACCAGAAAAAACATTCTCACCCAATCACTTAGGGCATCACAGTATTAGGATCTGAATTTAAAAGCTGTTAAATAGCTCATGTAAAAAATATGATATTCTGGAAAGGCAGGGCTATGAAAAGCAGGGTCTCTGATGAAGATTTCCTATGTCAATTTAAACAGTTTACCAAAAAGGCAGCCTAAAAACATCAAAGAAAGCACTGCACAGCTCAGCTGTTGAAGTCAGTGGATCTAAGGGGAGTTCCAGCTTGCTATCCTGGCAGCTACGAAACAGATGTGAGCATCTGTCCTGACTGCAGCAATGGATGGAGCAAGTGCCAGACAATTCCAGCCAAACTTCTGGAGCTGCTGCAAAACACGCAGTGAAAACACATCGCTCCTAACTACTCTCCCTTGAAGTACTCTTGTCTGCCTTTTATCCTTATTCCTAAAACCTGATGAATTGTTGACTAACATTTCTGGTTAGGAAGCAAGTTATCACCAAAATATGCAAAGGGAGAAGCATAACAACGTAACAGGGTCTTGGGTTTTTGATTCCCTTCAGCCACAAATACAGAACTCACATTGTAACCAGTGAAGCACTCATTATCTTGTCTAATAAAATGTTTTCATTCACACCATGAAAAAAGATGCAGTGCCAAAAGCAGTTCAAGTTAACCATCCTTTCTGTAATCACCACTGAAGAAAAATTACATTGGAGGGCAGACTCAGCTTTTAGAGCTATGTTAGTTATTTGGGTTTTACACCACTTGGTATTTCTCAAAACTGATGGACCTCATGCCAAAAGGTAAAACTGAAAGCAGATGAACAGTTATGACTATGACACACTGTCAAGGTGTTTGCCCTGGTCCTTCCCCATTTGGCAGTAAATACCCAAACCTACTCTAAGACAGAAACTAATGCAAGTGAGGGCTCTGAAAGGCCATTTTCTGAATAAAAGTCTGGGCAAGGACCAGAAAGATAGAAGTTACGCTTGAGTACCTTTAATACTAAGAACACTTACTGCATTTTCAGGATGGAAGATGTAAGATGCAGGAGAATTATCTACTATAATAACTTTACTCAGCTCACGTCCCAGTCGACTCAGATCCTTCACATAATTTCCTCGGTGGAAAACGCAGGATTCTCTAAAGAGCCTTGCCCTGAACACACCCCAGCGATCCAGTAAGTCAGCTACTGGGTCTGCATACTTAAAAATAGAAGGTAGAAACATGAAGTTAGCAACGTGCACACAAAGAAGAAGGGACATAAACTGATTTCAGATCAAATGCCCTGTCTTAATTGTCTTCCTTGTTCCTTGTTAATTAACTTAAAAGCCTGCAAACCTGAGGTGATTAATAGAGAATGCAAAAAAACCCCAAACAGGTCAGTTATCTTTCTGTGGAAAGGTAACTTGCACTCTAACATCTTCTGTGATTTATTGATCAGGTTTTATTCTTAGGGCCAACTTATAGCTATCCTGGAGGTTGATGGATCCAGAGACCTCACCTAACATCACCATAAACCAGACAATGTTAACAGAAAACCTCTACAAAGCCATTTCCACAGCTGATTCACTTCCACGTGCCTCTGCAGATAAACAGCAACAAAGGCATCTGAGCCCAGTGTAGCCTTTTTAAAGGATGCCCACAGAGTCACTAGGCCAGTAAGAATCTCAAGATTATCAAATTGCATAATTGGACCATAAAAGATCAGACAAAGATGTTATTAGGAAAAATATCCATGTACAATACTGGGAAATTCTCATTTTATATGTAAGATGATCCTTTAAGTGAGGCACAGCTTAGAAACCAACAACTTGTATAAACTGTCCAAGGGAAAGTATTCCAATAAACCAGAATGAAATAACCATGTACTTTAAAACAACAGTTATAAATTATTTCTGCAGGATAGGAATTACTATTTTCCTATATTTTAAACTGAGAAACAAAATTGGTGCTGAAATCCATCATCCCTTGACTATGAAAGCTGCCAGACATCTAACTACAGTCTGAAATAATTGTGTTCCATTATTTAGGATTTTCACAATATGACTGAACAGAACACAGTCAACAGAGTGTAAGGAAGAATCCTCTGGTAAGGCAGCCCTATAGCAAATCAAATGGGGTCCTGCCCCTTTCCACCATCTATACACTAGGTTGGAATAAAGGTTCACTATGCTAAAGTATTGTTTTTAAATAATCATTATTACTTCACAAACAAGGCACCACAAATACAATACACTGAAACAAGGGAAGATTTAAGATGTCTACTACTGTAACGTCTACCACAAAACTACCTAGGAGGTACTACTGCTACTGGAGACCAGAGGGCACAAAATATTCCTCTTGATGTTTCAAGCTTTACACACCATCTGATTTTCTAACTCCAGATTGCAATTGCACCTTGTCAGAACAAAAACATGTTCCCAATTTTCATATTTCCAATTTCTGAATCACTGGTTGATTGTCTAGATAATATGAAATAGAGCGTATTTTATTTCATGCCCAGCTTTAATACACTGCTTTACTCACAGGCTATTTGTTCTAATTTCTCACTATAACCATGGTAACTTGTAAGCCTTTCATATTGGCATCATGAGCAATGCATGGAGGCTACATTATGAGACAAGCCCATATGTGATGGTGTTACCATGGAAACACTTACCCACACACTAGCAGACAAAGTACACACTGTCAGACAAAGAAGCAAAAAAGAAGGGGAAAAATTAAGATAGTACCAACTGTGGAAATAATTATCCATAGAAAACCCAACCAAAAGTCCACTGACCAGCACTGTAAGGGCTAAGGAGATGAAGAGAGGAACAAACCTTGGCTAGACTGGCTGTGAAGAGTACACATTCAAAGAGCTCTCCCATCCTCTGAAGAAACTCATCCACATGTGGTCGCTTCAATACATAAACCTGGAATGACAACGATAATGTAGGTCAAATATTGGGTAAGTAAAAAAAAAAACAACAAACAAAAACCCAAACCAACCCTGCAAAACACTCCTGTAATCCCAACACTTGAAACAAAAGTTAGCATGAAAGCAGTTCAAATGAAATGCTGAAAGTAAAAAAACCAGGAAGTACACAAGATAAAAGTAGACAACCAATAATGAGAATTTTGAATGCATGGGCTGCCAAGGCCCATGCTGATTATGCACTTGCAAGCACTGTGCATCATCTGGAGTGATGCCTCTTGAAAAACCTCATTAAAGGCAAAGAGAGACAGTAGGGCTTCTCAGGCAGAGAGGATTCAGATCTCTCAACTGACACGATTTTGGTGCTGGTGTCTTCAGTCCTGAAGGGCTTTATGGAAGGAATAAATCTGATGAAACCTCTGTGTTGACAGCAATTGCACAAGAGGGAACTGTTTTCTTCCTGTGGCTCATTCTTTCATTTTTGAAATTCCAGGCGCTAAGAACCCTTTCTCATTATGAACACTTATCAGTCATCTGGCTCTACAGAGTTTTCACAAAAAAATTTAATAGAACCACAGAGAATTGCAAAACTCAGTTGCAAGGTCTACAGCATCTTCTGCTGTGACCTTGCCACAAAGATGGTGAATACTCAGGGGGTCCCTCTCCTCTTGAGTAGCTTGGTTTCAACAATGCTGTCTTGACCCTTTTTGCCCTGACAACCATACAGGCACAGCTTGGCTGCCTCCTGTCCACAACCTGATTAATAAATATTAGAGCCTCCTCACCTCATTTTTCAAAGCAAGCAAGATGATTTGTGCACACAGAAAATGCCAAGATAAGATAACTGCTGCTCAGAAAGCTTACAAGTAGTTCACAATCTATTGGGAAGCTGAAGAAGGGAGTCTGCTTGAAAAATATTTATCTTGTTTGTACTTAGATTAGAAGTTTGAGACAAAACACTAGCAGCATTTTATCTTCTTCATTGGAAAAATCTTTAATACTGGAAATTCCAAGTGGAGAAGTCTGGCATATAGCTGAATTCAAGAAGAATTACAAAACATACAATTTCAGGAATTTCTTCCTTTGATAGGTACAACTAGATTAATTGTATGTATTTTACTAGATTCGTATTATTAAAGAGGTAAAAACATAAGGCACCCAGAGAAAAAGCCTGAAGGAGAAAATATGGAAATGCCAGCTTGAACTGAAATGTAACAATTAAAGCCTTTAGCAAAAGCAGGAAAAAAAATTGCATAATAGGGACTTGAAGTTGTAAACCTAAATCTGAAAGTAAAGTTTTATTAAAAACATTTATGATGGAGCTGTACCTAAATAACTGAAACAGAAATGTTCATCAATTTTTCACTTTAAATAGCATTAACACTCTTAGGCTGAAGACTTGATCTGCTTTCAGCTATTTCTATGCAGTTCAACAAAACTATTTCTGACCCCTCAAATTCAAACAACATATTCAAGCTTCGATACAGATAATTTATAATGCAGATTCAATTTTTTTGAACAACCACAGCAGCACATAACCAAGTAAATGTGATGTTTTATTAATTAAAGACAGTTAACAGATGTACTTCAACACCACTCTCTTGCTGGATAATTAGAGCAGTTTCCTGTATTTCACTAGGCATAAACCAAGTAATTTCCTCTCCTGTAACAATGCAATTAATTTTTTCACTTAAGTTTTACTACTTTGCAGCTTGCAACATAACCCATTTCCTCCATTCTGAGAGCACACAGTAAATCAACCTAGTAGCTACAAACCCAGAGCTCCTTCACCACAGGCTTTCAGACAAGAGGGGGCTTAAAAAGCAAGTACTTGCAATATGTGCTCTTTTGGCAATTGGTAGGTCTCCTAATACTGGAACTAGTCACTATGATCTTGAAGTGCACAGCATTTTACATTGTATTGTCTCCCTTCTGCGTTCAATCTCACCTACTGGGCTCTGGCTAAAAGATTCACTCCTCCTTACTAATAATAAAAGATGACCTCCTAGGATGAGGTCTCACCAAGCGTTTCTCTTAATTCTCTCCCTCTTTAAAAAGCCCCAACTCCTTCATCTCCTTTTTTTCTTTTTATTTTTAAAACAACATTGTTTTGTCTATTTTTAATTTCAGAGCAACATTTCTGAATACTCTGCATCGTTATTCCCTTTTACGTTTTTTTTGAGAAGTCCTACTTAAATCCTGGAAGCAACTGCAAGTGTACTGGTATCCTGGGCTACAAACTCTCTTTGGTTTACTTCACATAAAAAGCTTTCTTCAGCTGACAGTGCAGCTCTTTTCTCCTTTTCCCCCTCATTTGGAATTTTTTCCCCTTCACTTTGTTAGGGGCTGGACTTGCATCTCAATGCCACATGGTTATTTGTGGCTTGGCTTTCCCCTCTGTTCCCTGATGTCTTCAGTTTAAGTCTCTAGACTAACTGGCTCCTGGCATTTTTCTGAGATTTATATACTGTCTTTAGGGCATTAAAATGCCCTCCAGTTTTTCTGCATTGTATGCTCATTAATTTCTTCCAGTACACAGTAGGAATTTAGAAGAATACAGTGTTTTTTTTTTTGTTTTTTTTTTTAATTTAAAGTGAATCCTACTGTTAGAATCTTAAGGCACAAATTGGGCACTAGGCAAGTTTTCACAAGATTCTGCACTTACAGCTGCTAATGGCAGAAGAGAAGTAATTCTCTCTAATTGTTTTCAAGCATTTGGTATTTCCACATACATTTTCTATACCTCAAAGGAGCCTTAACCTAAGAAGACTCAGTATTTGTAAAGGAAAAGAGAAAAAACAGCCCAATTTTCATCAACTAAAGAGGACACAAAGAATTGCCTTTCAAAACCAGCTTTACAATAACGAAATCTTCAATTAGTGACAAAGAAATCTGCCCAGGAGAACTCAGGCTCCTGTCATCTCCAGTTCCATGGGCTGGGTGCATCTTCTTAACAGTGAGCAGAAATTAAGACACGTCCATCCTCCAGCCTCGTCCTTCTGGTTCACAGAGTCGTGGTTGCCTCCCAGTGCAAGTAACCAAGAATAGGCCAGCTAGAATGGATACAGCCTATCCTGGATTACTTGAACCAGGCCACAGCCTTCTGTAGGAAAATGGATTAATTCTGTCCTTTGTAGAAGGGAAGTTGATGATTTGAACAGTGTTTTCCCCCACCAGTACAGAACATTCTGTACGTTACATTCAAAGTACTCTTGCCAAACATTGCTTTAGCTTTCAATACCTAAAAATGAGCAATTGTTAATTAAAGTTAAAAAAATACTTTCAAATTGGTTTTACTCAGTAAACAAACTGCATTAAAGAAGGAAATTCCAAGTAACACCAAATCAAACTCTTGCTGGCTGCCCTCTTTACACTTTGACACCACCAGCAAGGCACAAAGGCATTGCAAGTGGCATAAAAGACAAAGAACCACCATACCCTAAAAATCCTTACCCATGGGGGATTAAAGCTGTATTTAACACATAGTTTCTAATCTGGGGGTTGTGACTGCTCTGCACTTGTTATATTTGGAAGCACCTTCCAAGAGTGTTCTTCCAGAAGTTACATCAAGAGTACCAAACAGGTTGAACATCTTTTCTCCACTACTTTCACCAATAAACTTCCTCTAAAATTGCAACACATTTCACTGGACTCTCTACAGCCTCTCACTTGTAATTTGGTAGACCTGGCGACCAGTTCTAATTTCCTTTTTATTCAGAGAATCAGAGAGAAATGAGAGAACTGGCCAGCAGAGTGTCAGCTTGCATTAGAACTGCCCTTTGTATCTGTGCCATCATTTCCAACACGAAGTGTGGGATTCACCTCCTGCAACTTCAGCTGCCCCATAAACAGGCTCAGTCTTTGCAGGCATCTACAGACCCCTTATGGAAGGAGAGATACTTCCACACGAGTTATTTCCTTGTAAAAATCCTTTCCAAAGACAAGTTAAATCAGGCTGGATGTAAGGAGGACAAAGGGTCCTCAGAAAAGCTGTTTTTTCTAAGGAAGCAGGTTTACCCAAGCACCCTTAAAGATTATGATTTTTGAACTGTTCTTGCTATAGAAGAACAAGAGTCTCTCTGACTGTTGGATTATAAATGACAAAAGGAAAAATAAACTCCCCAAACTAAAGGCAGCCTTTTCTGAATACCTTGGTGACACAACAACAACAACAAAATCGTATCATTTATGATGAACAAAACTCACTGGATAACTCAGTCTCAAAACCCTTTCAAGAGTGCAGCAATTTAAATGCCACACCTCATGGTTTTTTGGTACATGAGATGTGAAGAATCCTGTGTAATTTCTAATTTCTTTCTGAATGGGCACTTCTGAAATGGTGTTCTCCACTTGTTTTTTCTGTGGGGTTCTGTCTAAGGCCCAGCTGAAGTACAACAACACTGTGTCAGACCATCTCCTGCTCAGTAAGGCAGCAGGCCCACTGGCAGAGCAGGTAGGGACACACTACGGACAGGATGATTCCATGACATTTCACACGTTTTAAACAGGTCAGATTATGACAGTTAAATAAAAAGACTGATGGATGACAGCACCTTACTTTGCCTGCCAAGGTGATTAAAAACACAGGAATCCAAGACTTTGCCAGTTCTGCATGCCATAGAAATTACTCCAAGAATCACAGATTCCTTAAAATTAACTTCATTTCTATCACCCAGATGTGACTGAGTCTTTTACCTACTGTAAAGATGACGAACTTGAAACACAAAGAGATTCTCCTCAGGAAGTCTCCAGCAAAGCCCAGTCGAAGACCAACTTCACCTGATCTGTCAGGAACATCCTTCCTTCTGTTCACATTTAGGGCATGGACAAGCCCACTTGCTCTGAACAGATGGTTTTGTGTTTGCTTTTTGTTAATCCTCAACCTCCCCATATGCAGTCATCTTGAGTGTCTAACTGCATTACTTTTGGGGAAGACTCTGAGAGTTTCAGCAGGGAACAGAAAGGCAACAGGCTTTGCAAGTGTTTGACTGAATAAACCTCCAATAGTCTTTTTATTGGGTTTTGTTTCAAAATGTAAATATATCATCTTCACAAGCTAAGTGATCACAATCCTAAGCCACTCAAAATTATGAGGCAACCTATTTTATTCTCTTTCCAAAGCATTCTAGGAAGTTTCAAGTGAGAAAATGACTGCATTACAGAACCAAACAGTTATTAAAGCCCACGTTAAATGACAGCAGAAAATATCACAATATAAATCCCAAAACATCACTTAAATGTTTTAAGCATTCAGGTCTGGTGAACAGTACAGGTTTAAGTACCTCAAATACTGAATTTTGCTACATAAAACAGGCACAGTGTAGAAAGTATCAAACAGCTATCACTGTAAAACACACTTCAGTTCTCTGACACATTTAGTATTTTAAGAGTGACAATTACATGGATGGTTTTGGTAACAGGAAATCAAATGAAACTATGAACTAACTTTATGATCTATTCATTGCTCTAAGATCAAAATACAAACCTATCTACCCAATTAAAAATAATCCATATAAAAAACAACATCTAGAAATCTGAAGTATTTAACATCTCCATTAATTACATCCAGGGAAGATCTGCAATTTAGTAACTGCTGTATATCTTTAGCCTACAGCAACCCACAAAAGATGTTTCAAATAATTTGCAAGATTCATCTATCAGAAAAGCTCAACTTCACATTAACCAGTAACACTCATCTCCAGCAAGACCTTTAATGTCTGTCTGAGGAGGAAAATTTACAGCACTGTAATTTATTTCATTTAACATTTTCAGAAATGACTGCTGATTAAAGACACCACGCTAAGATACATGAAGTGGACTGATTTTCAAATTATGGGTGTTTTGCTTTTACTCAGAACCATTTCACAGTCTTAAGTGAAGTTCTTAAAGACTAAGACATAAAAAATTGTCCCCCTGCAATTTTGTCCAGACCTTGTAAGATGTTCAAGCACATAAAAAGTCCTATCAGAGGAACTTAAATTGCTCACAGAAAGAAAAGAGAACAGAAATAAAACACAGATTGTCATAAAAATTGAAGAAATGTCTGTTCTTCTTTAATACTTTATAAAGCTTTGTCCATATGAACTACTCAAAGGCATTAAAGCCAACTTATGTCCTGCTTGTCTGCAAGGTGAATCAGAAATGCAGTATTCTAGTATTTTTTTTCCTGTGCCTAGCAATGTTGGAAAGCCCATCCTGTTTTAAATGTTTAAAAACTGACAAAAGTATTGAAGTCCTGAGAGATATTCTGGGAAAAGTTACAACTGAGACTTACTAATTAGAATCTAAACAGCTGGTGGAACAGGGATGACACATTCTAGAGTACACAGCTTTTTATATTTTGTAAAAGGACTAGTTATTGAATGTACAGCAGCAAATGGAGAAGGTGACACTCTGGGAGACTGAGGACAGTTTCACTGCTAGAACAAGGCCAAAGGCACAGCAGCTCTTACCTGATGTATGGTTCCATCAATTTCAACAGGAACGATGAAATCAGCGTTGCTAATTGGCTATAAAGAACAACAAGGAAATAAACCAACATTAAAAATAAGATTATTGGAGGGAAAATTTCAGAGGTGTGAAGGAAAGGAGCACTTACTTCTCAGGAACACGTTACTAAGCATTATTGATGACACAAATGCACTCTGCATGTGTGCCCTTTACACACACAAGCCAAGAGCCTTATGCAGCCGTATTTACCAGATACTCTGTTTCCCTCCTCTCTCATCCCTCATCCTTTCAAGCTTCATACATTGGAATATGTTTTACTGTTTGAACAAACTCCCCCACCAGGATAAAAATCTATTTCACCAAGTCTGTGTGGATGATAACAAAGAAATTCAGTTATGTGGTTCCCGTATTCTGCTTTGGGTCATCTGTTAGTCATTAATTATAAATAATGACAGTGGCAAAATTAATACCTAAAGGTTATATTTGAATCAGGAGCTGCAACAAGATGCAGTAAGACTTAACTTCATGTAGTTAAATGATTCTCAGGATGTGATACCAATCAAATTAATAATGCAAAACTACATTTTAGTTCAAAAATGAAGAGCAGGCAGACTCTGTCCAAGTCCCTGAATCCATTTTTCTAGCTTGTTGAACACAACTTATTTCTTCAGACTTACAGTGAAGTATCACTGGTGGAGAAAAACTACTTCAGAAAGCAGGGAAGTGTCCTTGCAGACAGTTTAAGAGTATATGGTTTAATCTTGGCAAGGCTGCAGTGGTAGCTGGGGAACACACTGCTAACAGTGTTTACACGTTCAAATGGACACCAGACTTGGCAGACTCCTTTGGTATGGCTCATGCATTACACCCGTGATAAAAAACAACTCATGTAAACATGCCCAGCTGAAGTTTATAGCTCACCCAATGATCTGCAGCTTGGAAAGGGCTGAGACCCAGAAATGCCACACATAGTTTTAACTGGACTGATTAACAGGCAATGTGCTGCATGGGTAACTGCCTAAAACAAAGGCTGGGAGTAGACTGGTTGGTAACACAAAGGGCTTTGCAAAGGCTGGAAAACATCTTCACTCAGCTCTGTCAGACTTGCACAGACTTTCCCACCTAGTTTTCTGCATCAACCAACAGACTGAACTCAAGTACCACCAAGGAACACATTCCTCAAGAATCTGCAAGACTAGAAACAGCCTTCAAATCCACTGGGAAGCAGAGGGGAGCATGAGAGGGTGCCAAGTCAGCAGAGAGACAGTCAAGGTGAAGAGACTGAGATCACAAACTATTGAGCCTGAACAGGTGCTCTGTGAAAAATGGTAGGAAGGAAGAAGCCTGCAGGACCAACCTCAGAGCATCACTTTGATCCCATTCCCTGGGAAAACAAGATTCTAATTTCCACTGTGAAACAACCTTCCTGAGGAAAATGACCCAAAGAGTTTATACAGAGGACAACACCCTCTCTCAGCAGTGAAGCAGTAAGGCAGATGGTTTGATCCAACAGCTGCAAGTGCTGTGTCAGAAGGCAAATGAGAAGTTAAACTGAATCTACTCATCCTGATCAACCAGTATTGGCAATCAAACCTCCAGAGCAGGAAATGCTGCCCAACTCCATCCCACTGATGACCACTGTGCTAGTATGATCTAAAGAATTCCTCAAGTACAGACACAATCTAGATTTTCCAAGCTGACAGCAGCAATTTCCAAGACACATCCCTCTTTCTGCTTCTGAAGAAGACAGAAAGGAGGCTCCCCATCTGTTACCTGTGTGAAGCCCCTCTGAGAATATGCTCTGCAGCATCTCTAACAGCCACAGAACAGGTATACAACAAAGTTTTGCAGCCTCACCTTATAAGGAACCCAAATGAACTGTCATTAAGACTCAGCCACCAAAGTTTTCAAGTGGGTGCCAGCTCTGTGCATACTTTGAAGAGACTTGCACACACTTGAAGGATTTATATATGCATGACTCCCTTAAGCAAGATAAATGTTCTGTAGCAGCAGAAAAAGAAGAGGTCACTGCAAGCTGCAAATGTTTTGAAGCCTATTGATTTAAAAAATGGCTATTACTAAACTTTCTTAACAGGAGAAACACCAACCAGATGTCAAGAGAAAACCACCTTTTGTTTAGACAACCTACTTTTTGCTAACAGCTCACCCTTAGACTTCATAACACCAACCAAATGACTCTTAACTACCTATCTGCTTCCCCCACTTGTACTTTAGGCACTACATAGCTTTCTTGTTGGCATAAGTGATAAGGAAGAGAGCATGTACTGGGGTTCTGTGCTTCATCATGATGGGAAGACAGGGGAAAAGTGTGCAACAGTTTGCTGGATAAAGGTTTCTGGGGCTGCACACGTGAAGCACGTACATGCCTTGAGTGGGAACCACAGAGAGTGTGAAAGAGGACAATGCATTCCCACTGAACATCTTTAGTTAAGGCTGTTCCTATTGAACAAAAGGCTTCAGAGTTTTAAATATTCTAAAAAAGAGTTTCACAGCCAGTTCTGAATGGGACTACATTCCAGACTTGCATGTGGTTTAATTCATTTTATACAAAACCATGTTTACATCTCCTTGATTCAGCAATTTATGATTTTCGCTTCTATTATTGTTTTATGATGGGAATGATAAGTGTAATGTCTATCTATTCCTTTTCTACTCTTGCCAAAGCACCCCAGCACTTAACATGAAAGACTAGCACCTCCTTAAAGCTTCACAAATATGCAGGGGCATAAAAAGACCAGAATTACCCTTCTTCAGATGTTGCTGCTTTCATAAAACAGCACTTTAAATACTCAGTCTCTCTGGTTGTGTTTAAAAAAAAATTATCTGCATTTGAAATATGAAGCGTATTTCATAACAGAATTATGAATTCTAAGTATCATGTGTTTTAAATAAAGCCTTTTGTAGTAAAAAAATCACAAATTTATGTATGCTTTTACAGCTTTTAAGTGGGGACCTGCCTGGTAGAGCAGACATGTTTTAGTGAATAAAAAAAACCAAACCCACAACTAAAAGAAACAGCAAAAATGATGTGATTACTCAGGGAGAGCAATGTACATATTGGTATTAAACTCTCTGCTCTTCTGGAAATCCATCGTTATTTTTGATGACCACAACAAATTTACTGCAGCTGAAGTGTTTCCTTTTATGAAACACAATCCAAACAGCCCCACTGGACAGTGGCAGCCACTAAACAACTAAGGCTATTTCCTCCAACACTTGCTTTTCTGTTACATCTCCCACCTCAGGGCTTCACATTAAGATGCCTTCGTGGCTCTAAGACTCCAACACCACAGAAACTCCAACATCCACCTAATGTTTACTTAGCAAAAAAAGGGCCAGCTTTCCTAAGACAAAACATTATTCAGTGTTCAAGACTAAGCAGAATAACCCCCTGATTTTTCTTAACTATCTCTTAAACAGGATTTAAATACCCATTAGATGTCATTTGAATAATTGGGATGAGTCAAATGAGCCCACTAAGCATGGACTCGGCAACAAAAGCAAACCTCAATCCTACAATAAAGGATTCATACAACATCAAACATTAAACATGTACTTCTTGAAAAGGGTTAAAAAATTTAAAAACCACCTCAACTGAATTTTGCTTTGTTTCAAAATGGAGAAAAATCACCATATGAAGTTACACAATGCATTCAGAAAACAAACTTATTTTTACATTTCAGATAACACTAAGCTTAATACTTCATTATTTTAATGTAGACTTCATATTTTTGAATTCAGCTCTCTCTTCCTATTTTTAACTCTTGTTTAATTAAGAAGGGATGGCCCCTTTCCCTTCCCAATCCAGCTGTATTTCTAGACCCCCTGAAAAATTCTCAAGTGCAAGTTCAGTCTAGGTATAGAAGACAAAGATCTGGCAGTGAAGTTACAAGGTTCCTGTGCACCACCACCAATTGTTACAGACCATTAGGCACAATAAAGACAGAGAGGAATCTTAGTTTCAGTTTGAGGCACAGGAATATTTGTTCTAGTATCTCCATATAAGGTCTTCTTTAAGTCAACAAAGACAAGCCGTTGCCAAATTCTAACCACAACATGAATGATGGTTTGCATATTTAAATGCTGGCAACTAAATAGTGCAGGATTAAAATGGTGAGTTTGTGCTAGCAGTGAAAAATGGGGTGTAAAACATTAGAAGAGGATAAAGTTGGTGGTAACTTTAACTTGCTACTAATAAGGAAACAGAGTATTGATTCTTATAAAGTTCTCCAACACCAGAGTATAAAACTAGCAGTTGTTTCACCATGCCTGACATTTGCTGATCAGAAATACTACCAGCACTCTGAGCCTATTTAGGTTATTTGTATTTCTGAATTCTCCTATTCTAACTTTAGCCCTACTTAAACAATAGAAGAATACCACTACTTCCACCACATGCTGGATTCTGAAGCGTTCTAAAAGTTGCTTCCAACAAGATGACTGACTCATCAGCAACAGCTAAATGTAATTTGCTTTCCCATTGTGAAAGCTAAAATGCTTTAAAAACCCTCACTGCCACTGGGACAGCAGCCTGACAATCTTCTCCAGCAACACAGCACTGCAAACATTGCTGCCCAAAATCTACTGTTTTAAGGTACATCCACTCAGCATAAAGCTGCACTCGGTCCCCACTCTCCTACACCAAATGTGGCATCGTTTAAATGTCAAAAAAACCCCCATATTTTGAAAGCAACAAGTTTTCTACCTGTTAACATTCAGGTCCGCATTGGAATAGTTACCATTTAAAACCAATAACCATTCCAGGTCTTGTTACAAGTCACTGTGACTTTCTCAGAATGAAAAACAAAAAACAAACAAGAAACAACCCAATGTCTGTGTTACTGCCCTTACAGCTAAATTAGGATGAATAATCATAGGGGTAACAATAAGAACTACCAGGCATCCTGGGAGAGCCTGTAAAACCAGTTAATGTGTTAAGAAGCTTAACAGTTCCTACAACATTCACTGACATTTAAGTTGCAAGACATGGCTTTTGAATTCACTTACCTTAAATGAACTGTGCACTAAAGTTTCATCTAAATCAATGACCACACACTTCTTCCCATAGTCTGATGCTGTCAGTTCTGGCAGGAGGTATTTAGCTGGTGGCTAAAAACAAAGAGAAAAGAGGAAGACAACAAAAAAAAGTAAAACCTCTATTGAAAGGGCACTATTCTGCCAACATTACTACTATCCTAGTTGTTACTGGGAACTGAAATACATGACTTGAAGTTGAATGTTTTCCTGGGCTCATTGCAAGTACATGTATGGAAATTAATGGCTCATGCAATACCCATACAGGCTTTTATTTTTTTTTTAAATAAGAGATTTGTTTAAAATTATATCCAAAGCATTGGAAATGAAAATAGTAAACCACCATCATCAGCTTAAAAACAATAGTACAAAAAATGGGCCATTTGATACAACATATTTTTCCAGTGACTGTTCCTAATGCTTCAGTTTTGGATGCCTGGTGTTATTCTATTCACATTTCCAGCCTTATCACACTGATGAACATTTACACAATGTTTGCCATGAAAGATGCTAAAGTGGAGATATCAGTCCTGAAAGAAGACAGCATTACTAATTTGATCTTCCAGGACATGTCTCCACTCTCATTTTTACCATGTGTGAGGGTGCTGACCATGAGCTTTCATGTGAATTATGGTCCCAGTCAAGGTATTAGAACTGCAGCAAAGAAAGCCCTCCTAAGCCAGGCTCTGTTTGCTGCCCTTAGTAAAATATGGTACCAATTACATGAATTGACAATTTTTTTGAAAGCAAAGCAGTCACATAGTATTCTGATCTCTCATTGCCCCCTTTAACATCCTAATTTGCAGTAGAGCTTTGTTACTTTAGATTGTGGGACTGGATACTCTCAGAAGTAACAGATATGGGAGAGAACACTTCCATCTGCAGCTGAAACACTGCTGCCACTCAAGAGTTGCTTGGGGTTTTTTTAAGAAAGAAAAGGACAAGATTTACAGAAAAGTATCAATAGGGAGAAGCTCAAGGCTGAGAGGAAATTAAATTAAGTAAGAATTGGATACAGAACTCTAACTTCATTCTTTTCCTATCTTTCTATCTGTTTAGACAATGTTGCTCTGGTAAGGATGGTTTTGGGTTTTATTTCAATAGCCTTTTGTAGAGGTGCTTGCTGAGATGTGAGGCCACCCCTTTGCAGATCATGGGTGACAAAGAGCTGCGGCAAACACCCTCTGACCACCCTCCAGCAGCAAGAAACAGGCTCTTTATTACCACAGATGGATTTCAGATGTCCTCTTAAGTTGATAGATACCAGTCAATGATGCCTAGTGAGTTCTTTAAAAGAACTAACAAATGAGATTCTGGACTTAAAAGTCGATAGCTAAAGTAGAAGGCACTGGGGGATTTTTAGGAGTGTTCACTGACACTGACTGAGTTCCTTACAATTAAGACTAACAACAGTTTATTCACCTACTAAAATGGAAGCTGCTTCGCTCACAAGCTACTTAATACATGTGTATTTTATTTTTTTACCTTCAAGAAAAAATCAACTGCTGCTTCCCTGTAAAGTATGTGTCCACCACAGAAACGTAAGCAGGCTGAAATCTACAGCACACCCTTCCTGGGCTACAGACAGTCCCACGTACACATTACATCCCCAACTGCTTGACTTGTACTTTTTGTTGGAAACAAGGATCAGATCTAAGGCATTTAGGTTTTCCCCTTCTATTTCAAAATCCAAGGCACTCCACCTCAATATTTCATAGTAAGAAGGACCCAGACTCACAACCTATAGAGACTAACAGCTTATTGAAAAAAAAAATAAAAAATCTAACTCAGTTAAAGACAATCTTCAGAACCCACATTCTGATACTGATGTCTTTGAAGAAGATAAAAAGGTAGGAGTATCCTAAGAAATCTTAAGCATACTTCTTTTTAAAGAATAGTTCAGTTAATTTTTGTTCTCTTCAGACTGTTGATATTAAGTTTAAGTATTTGACTCAGTTAATCTGCACAAGCAGGTCAAAGCCAGCAATTTATTCTCCTATGTGAATTCTTCTTCAAATTGAAAATATCTCTATATATGGAAAATAGAGGGAAATAAATCTTCTTTCATCTAAAAATACACACATGAAAGATGTGAGCACTGGCCTATCACATCTATCTTTGTTTTTTATCTGGAAATGAGTATGCCTGTCATCAGGAACCAGACAGACATACACCAAGGACTATTAGATGTGAGAACCTTCAACTCTGAGAACCCAAATTCCTGGACTATCCAGTGAGATACAGGCTAACTGTTCCCATCCTCCTGATACACCTGCAGCTCTGCCTTCTTAAAAGCAGCAGCTGAGAGAGGAGGAAGCTTACCTGCACTATCTACACAGAGATTCTGGTTACTACTACAGTTTCTCTACCTCTTCAGCACTGCCTTAGGAGATGTGTAATTATTGACCTAACTGTATCTACCAAGACTGCACCTCAAAGTTCTTCCAGGGGAGAGTCTCCCACAAGGGGATATCAACCTTCTGACAAGCTTTGACTTCTTGAGTTCAATCTGATCCTGTTTTCAAAGACACCTGGTTAACAGTTTGCATATTTGGAGATCAGGAGAAATAAATTTTCCATTTCCAAATCTGTATCTCTGTAGCCTTCTAGTTTGAAAACACATTTGTCACCTGACAACCTAACAGGATGAAGGAAACTACTCTGAAGCTGAAGGCACTACAAGCTGTGAGACTCCTAAACATCTGGTGCAGGACACTGGAGCAGGGATGACATTTTTTAGGCTTTAGGAACTTAAGGGATTTGTGCACAGGGTATCAGTCCATTTGTTTTGCCCTGCAAGCTTTCTGATCTAATGCAACTTCCACTTGCCAAGAGCAGCAAAGCTTTTAGGCAGAAACAAGCATTATTCAATGTTGTATTTTAATTTCCTCACCAATGGAGACATATCCAAGAAGAGTTCTAATGACCAGATTTCCATCATAGTTAATAGTGAATAGTTAGGAATCTTTGATATTTTCTTTTTTCAAACATAGTAGCTTTAAAGATGATTGAGAGTATTTAATTGTGGCCAACAGCAACTCATAGTTACTATGTAATACTCTTCAAAAGACTACAGACTTCCTCAGAACTCAGAAGAAAAATAACACTTGGTATCTCAGTACTGCAAGTCCTAGCTCGGTCTTCAATTCCAGCAAGGCATAAATTGTATACATGTTAAAGCTTTTAAACTAGTCACTGTTTGGGATTTATGCATTCCAGCCAGGTCTCATGGCTGATCAGCTTAACAGACCTTGTAGTGAAACGACTGCTGCACTGCTTCAGTCCCGTGGAAATAGTATATTCCCTAAGAAGAAAAAAAAAACAAACAAGGGGGTGGTGGTGGCAAGAAAACAGGACTTTTGGTTGAAGCATAAACAGCTGGTCAAGACAAACCTTTCAGAAATTTACTGTATAAAACAATTACAACCTTTCTGCCCTGTAGGGCCATATTACCCTCTGTGACAAGTATCAGAATTAAGCCCTCCCTTTCTACACTGGAAATGTTGTCCTGCCTAAGTGCAGCACATTAATTTGCTGTTTGTGTTCCCTTTAATTCACTCTTTTGGTTGCACTCAGCTAACAGCTTCTCCCAGCAGCTATGCACAGATACACTCTAAAAGAAGAGAAATTATTCCCACTTCAAACAACAGCTGCCCAAAGGCACCAGCTCCTGTTACAAAACAGGCAGTTCACAACTTTTTTTACTAGAAAAAGTTGTAGCAATAAACTGTCAAAAGGTGGGTGAGGACAAGTGGAAAAACAATATCCCAGCACTCAAGAGTTACCTTCTGCAACGATTGTGAGGACTGCTTGTGCTGTGCCTTAATACTGGGATTTTAAATGGAAAAAAAAGAAAAAGAAATGGACACCCCAATCTCGTTTAGGCAGGTGCATGAGTAAGGATTTGTATTTCCATCTACCTTTTCATCCAAAAGAATGAAAAGAAGTGCTGAAGTTGCTACAGGTCTACTTTGATTTCTCTACTATATTCCTTTCCAAGCAAAGCTGCGAAAAATCCAGGAAATAATGGGTGGTCTAAGCTACACTTAATATATTTTTAAGACAGGTCTATCACTGAACTCTTCAGAGCACCATTCTGCTCAGCTGTCAGCTGGTATTGTTTTTTCTAGTTTTGTGTGTGTTTATTTCAGCCCTAAAAGTAAGTAATTTTGCAGTATTAAGAAAAAAAATCAATTACCCTGCTGTTTAATCTCTGCCTTATCTGGAAGCAGTTTCAGAACATGAGATACAATCAGTTCATCTTTGAAATAAACAAAGTCCCACTTTCTATTATTTGAAGAACCTAACTTGATGCAGGAATGTTTCTGGCTTAGTAGTTACCTCTAACAACAACCAAGCGAAAATTTGTATTAATTCAAGCTTTTAAATTAAATGCAATTAATACCAGAATGCTGATTGAACAGAATTTATGCTTCTACAGTGACACTGCACACATGTACATAAAGCAATGAAAAGTTTTCAAACTCAGCAGAATGTCAGATTTTGCACATGCAATGGTAAAGCTCCAGAAAAGCTGGTAGTTTGACTGCAGGTTTCAACTTGACAAGTTCAATGAGCAGGGAGCAGGCAGTGATCCTTGAAGAGTCACCAAGAAATTCTCTAAACATTTGAAGTGATTACATTGCAATGAGCCCTATAAAAAGTTAAGTGTCTGGCTTAACTGTGACCAAGCTCACTCTGTGCCTCTTTAGCAGCTTTTTCTCCTGGTGTGTACAGACACTTTGAACAGCCTGTTTGTCATCTGTTACCCTCTGTAGCAGAGCATCAAGAATTTCTGCCTTAATGGCTCTTGAACACCCACTGAAGTGTTGTCTCAGGGTGAACCTCTGGGTTTCAGTGCTCAGGACAAACTGCCCTCATGAGACTGGCAGAGGAATGCTTCAATTTTAGGGTTTTTTTTTCTTAATATAATGTTGTATTTTTATTCCTACCACTTTCTCCATACACAGCTCACTTCTTTATTTAGACTATTACGCACTAACGCCTGCTGGCTTCTCTGTGACAGCTAGCAGCACTCTGACACTGGGAAAGTAAATGTCACACAACTGCCTGCAGGCCATGGTTGCTTGACAACACTTGCATGTCCTGCTGGAAGAAGGCATCAGGTGGCACTGGAGAAGAGGAGGAACAAGTGTGTTTAAAGCCACCTGCTCACTTAGAACTCGATGTGATGACTGCAAAGGTAAGTTAATTTTACTGCCATATTAAAGTGCTGGGAATATAGGTCAGCAAAAATACAGCTGAGCTACAAGAGAAAAAAAATGAAGAAGAAAAGAAACCCCTACTTGAATTTTCCAATCATTATTCAAATCTAGCAGAGCACTGTTTTAACATCACAAAGATGGTGTTCTAGCAAAGTATCTCATTTCATGTTTTATCTCACAAAGGTGTACTCCTTGTTTCAAAGTTTTGAATTCTTATTTCATTAATACCTACACTCCCTCTTAAGGCAAAATTTTATTCCAGGTCAGAGCACAGCCAGAACATGTTTTACATTTAAATAACTACCAGTAGAGCAACTACAGTCACCAACTAGAATCTGGCAGGAATGTGAAAGTAATTTAGAAATCAGTATTTTCATACATCCAAAGCTTTCTTTTCCCAGACTTGCATGTATACAAATTACATGCATGTACATGCATACTAACATGCATGCAAACCTATGCATGAGGCATGGAAGAAGTAATTTAATATCAGAAGTAATAGGTGAAGTATAAAGAATAATTTCTAACAGTACGTAAATCCAAGAAAAAAAGTAATGAAGGAAGGAAGTGATCCACAGTTACAGTGATCTCCTGATGCCACTGCACTGTGGCATGGACAGGGATCTTACAGGAAACCTTGTAATGTTGAGAAGAAGAGGGGGGAAAAGAGAAAAATGGGATCTTGGGAAATACTGAGGTCTTCAGGGGCTAACAATTATCACAAGAAAGAGTTATCTCAGTAACTCCAGCACTGCAATTTCGTGGAAACCTCTGCAATAATCATTATAAACAGCAAAGGAACTCAATACTGTATTTCCAGCTTTAAGAAGTATTCATGTAAAAAACAAGTAGAAAAAGAGCAGCTTTTTGACCAAAAAAGGTTAAACCTAATAAAATTAAAAGATTCAGTTTACAGAACTTTTTTTCCCTTTCATTTAGTTTCGAAAAATAATTCAGATGCCAAGTGGCATTCCAAGTTTAATACAGGGAAGATAAGCAGAAATATTAAGGCCCATAAACCAGCAGCTGATACTGAGAGCATCATCTCAAACAAGTGTAGACAAGCAGCTTTGGTCAGTGTAATCTTCTGTTTTGCTGAAGTGGTTTGTTTTAAACAATTTATGCAGTTTCTAACTCTTTTCAAACTGGAACGTAGGGAAAAATTAGAGGAAAAGATTTCTGTAACTGTGTCTCAGTGATGATGAGTCAATTTTTGTCTCTATTAAAGTTCCATTCTTAGACTATTTCAGGCATTGTCAGAATCATCAAAATTCAGAAATTAATGTAACTGAGATGCAAGATGAAAACCATACAAAACCCAAATTCTTCTTTTAGTCCCTGTACAACACGAGCAGTTCAATTCATCTCCAAGTGTACAACATTGCAGACAGAACATAAAATCCTTTTGTTAACATGCAACACAAACCAGACCTGTTAGACTGCAACATAAGATGAATCAAAGCAAAAGTTATGAAAATTATTAAAAGAAAAAGGGATAAAAATACATACACTTGGTATAGGCATGACCTGCATCTGGTCACCCTGGGGAAAAAGAAAAAAAATCAGTGTAAGGGTAATGGCTTTTAAAGGGTAGAACAAAGGTCTGAAGCAGTAAATGTAGCACTCAAACATTTTAAACCAAAAGTTCAAACTATTCAAGAAACCAGGGTAAAAAATAAAAATAAAAACAGGATCTTGCATTTTAGTTGGCAAAATGATTGGTTAGTATATTGGCATTTATGGCTTTTAGGAGACCAGACTGGTAAAACTCATGCTATGATGAATAAGAGATGATAATAAGAAAGTACCTGTATTTTCTGTAACTTTTTCAGCTTTAAGATCTGCTAACATATTTGTCTGTTTTCACTACAGCAACAAAAGGCTCAGTCAGATTTTGGTAGTAGGGCAGACTCCCACTCCCAACTTCAGTTGACTTAACTTTAACCAACTGCTTCAGAAAAAACAGCATTTTCACTTAGACACCAGCAAAATGTCCAAGAAGGATGATCTAATCCAAGGAATCTCATTTTCTTCACTCAGAAAGAGGTAACAGTATTAGTGCCCTTCCCATGTTCTCACTTCCCTGTTGTACTTGGGAGAAGGCAATACAGTCTTGGCCAACTTGACCTTCTCTTCTCATCCTGGGGCATGACATACAAAGACACCTCCATTCATGGCTTCCAAATGGCTGGTCACAGGGTTGCCAACTCAATATGCATTTTGGGAAGCAGGACCTGTATCTCCTCATCTGCCTAATCAGACAAAACCGAGCACGTTTTCTGCACCACACATTAAAAAAAAGGGATCTGACCTTCCTAGTGCATACATTGATTAGGTATATGATTTTATTCTTTAATTACTTAGACAATGTAGGCTCTGACTACCAGTAGACCATTTACTGGAAGAGCTGCTTTCAATATTAGAACACTCTCTTCCAGCTGAAAAAGTCTTGTGCTCACTTCTCTTGGAGGCTTGCCTAGTGTTGACACATCACTGACAAAGAGAAGTAATTCAATATTATTTTTAAGTCCTCTTTTTATTGCTGCAACAGCAGAAATTTTTACCAAAGATTGACCAAACTCCAGAGAAGCTGATGAAGCAAGCTAAGGAGCAGCAACTACCATGAACTATCAAGTTTACTTAAGTGAAAAGCACCCCATTTCTACAAAAACAAACACATAACTGGTAAGAATCCAAGTTTTCCTCAGGATAACAGCAAAAAAAGAAAACTCAGTACGTTAATGTCCTGTTTGTGGAACATCAGTGGGTCATTTGAGAAGGGAGTGAACTTGGGTAGGTGCCAGTTGGATGAGCTGGCCTGTGATCAGGCTGTTATCAAGGATATGGTTGCACAGGCAGAACACAGATTGTGAACCTGTGTTTTGCTTTGAGCTGATTTTTTTTTTTTTTTGCATTCAGTGGTAGAGAACATAAAATACAACTGGAGCTCCTCTTCTGTCAACAGACGAAAGCAGTGTATGAGAGGTAAAGGCATGTTCACAGTCAGGGTTCAAGATTATCTTACTCACGGACACAAATAAATCTGTATATTGCATCAGGTTTTCCCACAAACTTGAGAGGCTCTCACCACAGTGCAACTTGCTTTCTATTTTGGCAATCTCTGGAAGCAAATGCAGCACCCCATGGTATCACTGTTAAGCCTGACTTTCATGGGAATTCAGGGTCTAGGTTGTAAAAGGACTTGCACTACTGTTAATTGTGTTTTTCTTCCTGAATTTCTTAAATCAAACAACAAGGAAAGCAAGCAAATTTCCTAAGAGGAACCCTAAATGTACCTATGCAAAAATCAAAATGATAATGATGACAACTGGAAAAACAAGCAGGAAGATAAATGCAAGAGTCTGCTAGTATAGCATTAGTGTTTGTGAACAGGGAAAAGCTTTTTAAGAACAAACCTCCTATGGGAAACTTTTAAAAAGTGTCCTGCCTCATTTCCTGAGGCCTTGGAACAGGAAGGGAAGCAGGTCATGATTCTACTGTTTGAAACAGATGTCAGGACTGTGTTTGTTGAAGTCTTCCCATGAGCTCTTGATGCTGGTAACAGGACCAAGCCATTCCTAGAATGCTGAAATTTCCCCACTGTATCACTAAGATAACCCAGGAACTGATTGGTCCAGCCACTGAAATCAATTTTTTTGTTGTTTGTTTTTTTTTCATGGCACAATATATACAAGTGAAACTGTAAATTCTGCCTTTTCCCTTAGCTCCATAATTCTAGTCTGACAGACACACTTTCAGTCCTGTGTCTGTTCACTGTCATGTATGGGATCAATGAGCACCAAATGACAGACCACACTACTTTGCTTTTTTAAGAGCAGTCTCTCTTACCTGACACACAAGTGATGTGCCATTTTAAAGAATAACTGCTTTAGAGAAGCTGATCAAAAGAACAGATTTATCATATTTGTTTCTTTAACACAAAGCTTATATTAGATCATGACAGGTTCTTTAAAAACAAGAATATAGTTACTATTTGACTCTTTCATTGGCCTGGACTATTGAGCTTTGTCCCTTAATATAGAAGACTTTTCTGGGAGGCAAAGAAGGTCAGAATGAGTAGGCAGAGATGGAGGAACCAAACACAGCTATGCAGAGGAGGGTTTTGTCTTCTACATAGACCTGTCACACTGCATGCTGACTGTGACCAACAGAACAAAGCACTAGGAACTTTTTGCTCTGGTCAACAAAGTTTAAGCAGGAGGAAGAGCATTATTATTTACATTCATCTCACTTATATTCCTCCTCATCAGAAAGTGAGATTGGTTTCTGTGTCTCTTCAGAAAGCATGCTGCTAACAGTCTCCCCATCAGATCCCATGCTCATGTTCCTCCTCCAGGTGTCTTGCAAGGAGACCCTACTTTAGAACTCAAAAGTGTGCTCCCTACATGCCGTGTTTCTCACTCTGGTGAACAATATTTACATGGTATGGAGAAGATCCCTTCCCCTATGCCTTCATGTGTGTTATAAATAGAGATCCCTGAAGTAGACAACAGTGCTGGAGGCATGACAATAGGTATCAAAACAGCTTTCCAGCATCACCTTGGAGATGACAGCACTGTGCAGCAAAAAGCAGTGGAGAGGAAACGTAACTTCTGTAGTGGTTAATATGGGTGAGGTGGAAATTCAAGGACTTGACCTTTCTGGCTTAATTCCTGTTACAGGGAAAGCAACCAGGGCAGCTGCTGCCCCAGAATAAACCTTCTTCTAATTCTGTCTTCTTCCTTCTTGAGCGTGGACCAAGACCTTCTCCTCTAATCAAACAAAGTATAAGAAAGTCTTTCCTCATTCATGCTTCATCTGGTTGAACATGAGCCATCTGCTCCATTTGTATCTAACTGTGAAACACAAGCAGAGATGACTCCAGCAGAAGTGGATTGTGAGTGAAATGGCAAAGTGCTGAGAGATTTCTCAGAGCACCTTCACCCACCATGACTGAAGGTGAAAGGAAAAGAGAGCCAGTTTGCATCTACTTTTTCTCACCTTTCCCTATCTAGATAGCTCCTTGAAGCCCACAAATGAAATCTCTATCTGCAAACACATCAAAACTCAGGCAAGAAATGTACCCAGAAAAAAAAAAAAATTACACCCAGAAATTACACAAATTGAGCCAAGTTGCTAAGTGAAAAACAGAAATTGTGATCTGGAATTGTTCAGAAGAAAACAAAACACACTTCACTCTCCCAACACTCTGGCCCCTAAAAAAACAAACAACAACCCAAAAACTGGCTGGAAGCTCTTGGTGGGCTGCCTGCTGCTGAGGAGGCAGGAAAAATTTAGCAAGGATTTCATGAGGCTGAACATTGTGTGCTCCCAGTGACACATCTGGCTTGGCATCCAAGCAGCAGACAGGCTGATACACCCACTGTAATAGATACTACATCTTAGAATACACTTTGTGCTGCACTAAAAAGCTGTAGCTTTTGAAGAAAAAAAATAATATACAAGAGTTTCAGTAAATACAAGTTATTGTTGAAAAATGTTGTGTTGGAACTTTAGAGACAGAACTGACCATTTATTACCAGTATTAGAGTTACACTTGGACAAGCAGCTGCTCTGTGAGTAGTAGGTTTAAAAGTGAACTCAATACTTTAAAGAAGTTTTTGGACTTTTTCTCCCCCCCTAAACAAATAGGAGTCAGTACTGAAAAAATCCTGTTTTTTTCAAAACTATGCTCAGTTTGGTACTTCTTGCAATCCTAGAAAGAAGTGACATGACACTTGCCTTGCCAAGTCACTTATCAAGTCACATAATTTGGTAAAATACTAAATGAGGCACTGATTCAATTTGAAGCACTGATTTAATTTGTTTCAATACAGCCACGTAATAAAACTAAAAATTAAATTGCACAATGTAATTTCTCTGAACAAAATTTCAGAACTGTACTTTCAATTATTTTATAAAATACTGCCCCACTTTCCCTCCTTTACAGCAAGTTAGCATTTAAAGACTTGAGATTCCAAATTAGCAGGAAATTAGCTTCTCACATCAGCTTCCAGAATACTCCAGAAACAACACAGAACAGACACCGAATTCCCTGTGAAACCAGCAGAAACTTTCTCCATTCCTTTCCCTCCTGTGAAGTCTTTATCACCAGGTTTTCATGTTACAAATCCACTGAACAGCAAAGCCAGAAGTACAACCAAGCCATTTTATACTAGTTTCTAATGGTAACTATTTAGCATTATCGTGCAATTTTCTTTTTCCATTTTCGAAGGAAAGGGTCACAACACATGAAGTGACTGGGCCTTGGTCAGAGGTCACTTGTGATATGATAAATAACTAATGCAGGATACAAGGAGGACAGCAGATATAATGAAGCAACCATTTCAACAGTAGCTAAACAGAATTTAAATTCTTCTTAACCTGGTAGGCAGATGAATGCAACAAGAGCTTTAATTTAACAGCAGAGGAGATTAAACAGTGTGTTGTCAGGCTTCCTTTTCATTCCTGAAACAGGTAGTTTTATCATTCCTTCACACTTAACGTCACCAATTTAGAAACTGAGGCTCACTGTTGCATGTACTTTCCTCCAACTTACTTATCACTTCTGAATCTAGACAAGATGCTTGGTGTAACTTGGTCAAATCCAACCAGTCTGCCCACTTCTAAACACAGCCCTCCTGGTAAAAGGTACTACCCCAAAATTCAAATACATCTAACCCTTCAATACTGTTTGTCTTTAAAAGAATTTTCTACTTATACTAACCATGTTAACACTCAAAACCAACATATAACAACAGGAAGAGCTCACTAGTCTTCAATATTGTTATTTAAAATAGAATTTTCACATTCTTATTTGCACTCACTCAAAAACTGCTCAAAAAACTTAGCTTTATATATATATATATTTATACACACTTGATTTTTCCCTATGAAGATCTGTACACATCTGTGTGCCTCATTCTAGCTGAAGAAAATGCACTACTTAACAATCCTTTTTTTAACATATTCCCTGAACTTTTCTGCTCTTTTAAAGTGCAGTCTGGTAATTCTGTGAATTCTCTGAATTGTGTCTTGGGCTTATGTACAAGCATTGCACAACTTCAAAGCTGCTCACTAAGGCAGTACAGGAGGGAAACTTGTGTGAATGCACATGCAATCACTTGCTCAAGGCATGAGATATATTTAGAAAGTAATTAAGTGTTTTACAAAATGCAATCTCAAAAGTACTAACCATTTTAACTCATGTTTTCTTTACAGAAAAAAAAAAAATTACTCTTCCTTGTGTTTTTCTTTCTAATAAACTCCCATTTTCTCTCTAGTGGTAATTTTGCTCACTTCTGCTTCCTCTCCATTCCCCAGCATGGTGAAAAGGGAGATTTTACTGGTTTCCTATTGCTTTCGTTTCTCAGGTGAACATGTGCATATGTTCTACACAATACACAGCCTTCCCTTCAGCACATCCAGGTACATTTCCCTCATTTCAGTCAAAATACACTTTAGCTAGCAAAAAAAAGTCTAAAAAAATACATACAAGTCCTCTTGGCAGAGAAATTTTCAGTGTACTTCACCTCTGTGTGGGCAGTTTCAGCATGAACTCCTGCAGTTCAGCCTTTACCCTCCCCAACATGTTATTGGTCTCAGTCACTTCCATTAATTTTCCTTTCCTCTCCCTCATCAAACAGTTGCTCTGCTCCTTCCCCTGAGCTTGTCAGAATTCAACACAACCAGCAAAATTCAAAACCAAATAAAGTGCAGTGGACGAGGTAGGCAAGAAATCAGTTGCATCAAATGTGAAAAATTAGTGTCAAGAGCAGAGGCTCGAAAAGACAAAGATATCTTGATTTCTGCTATTATTCCCCATCATGGAGGCACCTGTACTTCAAATCCTTTCAAGTCCCAGAAAAATGAGACTGGAATGGTGTTTTTAGACTGCTGAAAAACAACATGGTATGGAAAATATGGTAGTTCTGTGTTATACTGAACTGAAATTCTTCAGTTCATGAGACGAATCTTCTCAAGTGTTGTCACATTTAAAAAGAACAAAATAATTTGTGTTGTGATTTTAGGAATATGGCAAAGAAATATCTAATTTCTAGAACTCAATGAAATTAACATACTCTTACCTACAATGCTCTGAAGTGTTAAAAGCTTCTATCAGACTTATTAGGTAAACAAAACTTAACTTGGAAAGTGGCCAAAAGCTGATACCTCTAAACACAGAATGCATTAAATACTGGTGAACTGGTTAGAAAGAAGGTTCAAACAACCATGGTTCTCCTCTTTTTTTTGAACTATTTTTATGCCACTGGAAACCCTTCCAGCTGACATTCAAAGTGGTCTCACTCTGCTCCAGTGGACACATTTTAACCTTCCTGTAGTTGGGAAAGAGAACCAAAGCTAGAGACAACTCAGCATCTGAAGTCTTGAGAGGCCCACAATTTTTTAGCGTCTTACTGTTTGCTTATAAAAATCTATAGTGCTAATACTCATGGATAAGCTAGTTTTGAATTGCAGCTGAACATATAATATTTGCAGTTTACCATCAAAATAGAAATTTTTAATAGTAACTCATATTGCCCATGAAAGAAATCTGTTAAGACAAACCTTCAGAAACACAGAGCTAAACCTTGGTTTTGAAAGGCACGTAGGACAGCAAAATAAGATAAAAGCCTGACCTTCTGAAGTCCTCCATTCTCCTCCACCAAAGGAGGAAGAGCACTGGTGCTATTGGTAGATGGTGGCTCGACATTGTAGTCACGAAAGCAGCAGAATAAGGTGCTAAAGATACTTCGACTCCTCTGCTTCTTCAAGCTGATATTACATTGGGACACTACAAAAGAAAAAACAAACAGTAGAGAAATTAATTCATGAAGCACAGATCTAGCTTTCCAGACACACAAGGACTGAGTTTAAGATGCGTGGTTATTACCCCAGAAGTCCTTCCCAAAGATAAGCTCACAGAGATTTTCCATCATGTTGAGACCCCCTTCCTTCTGTTTCCAACATTATTTCCTTGTCAAAATCACAAAACCATGTCATGATCTCTGCACAACCCATATTAAGACACTATTCAGAGAGTTTTCCCAGAAATTTCCTAAGTAGATGCTGTAAATGACATTAAATAACTTGCTGCTAAATACGTCCCCAGACTGATCTAAAATGGAAGAGATTTAATAAATGCCTCTTGATGCCTGGGTATATTTTCTAACCTGATACACTATCATGTGTGGAACTTGGGAACTCCTGCAAGGGTTACAAAAAGATCTGAGATGTTTCTGATTTTCCTTTGTTACTGTTTGACAGCATTGCTGGAGGACAGAAGACAACACAGAGGCAGCCCTGAGAGCTGCAACACTGGCTGCAGGAGCAAGTCTGGAAATGATGTTATTAAATGAAAAGGTTAGGACTTTTGTTTAATTTGCTGATTGGTCTAAAAGGATTTAAAAAAAACCCAACAAACAAGAAAAAACAACACAACCCCCCCTCATAAAAAATAAATTCATACAGCTCAATGAAAGCAAGTGTAACATTTTTAAAGGCTAAGAATAGAGATAAAAGCAACAGTTTGCAGAAAAAAAATGCACATAAAAATGCACTTCCCTAAGAGTCAACCTCCTGACACTTGGATCTTGAACACACTTCAAATGAAATAAAATACATATTTTAAAAATACTAGAAAAAAAGTTGTAGAATATTCTAAGCAATACTTGATTTGATCCCTGAATACTTTAATGATCTGTTGCTAGCTGGAAGTATTTGTTTGCTGTGTTGCAGTGCAATACCTGCCAGATTCAGCACCCTGCCAGGGCAGGGACACCCTTCTCATCTTGTGTCTTTCCTGCATCCCTTTTTGTTTGATATTTAACAGTATGACTGCAAAGTATGGTACTGAGTGCTATTTGTACACAACAATGAGATAACCCAGTCATGAGCATCCTGTCAATAACTCCATTCCCACAACCATTACCATGAATATTCTACAAAACCAACCACCACACACCCCTGCCAGGGCTGGACAGTCCCCTTCTTCTGCACTACCTGCCTTAGCCAGGACCACCTTAGCCTTCCATGAAGCAGAGGACTAGCTTAGAATACAGAGATTAATGGTTTCCTTTTCAGAGTAAAAAAATTATTTCATTTAAAACACATGCAAACAAGCCTGAACAACTTATTTTTTTGTTCCTTCTTCACAGCTATGCAGCAGCTCATCTCAAAGTAGAAAACTTTAAAAAGTGGATTACACTGAGAAATAAGGATGCTATGAAAGTTGTAGCATCAAGCAGGTTAATGGTGATCTACACACCACAGTTTAGCTAGATTCTGCATTAGAAGGAAAAAAGACTTTCCCCCTACCCCAAAGTTAAAGGGTAAGTGAAATAGTAGTCCCATTATACACATCAATATATGATTCCCCACATTTCCTCCTCTCTAAAATTATCACCTCCCTCCTGATATTACAAACATAGCAAGTGCAATCTATGCAACTAGCAACAGAAATATAAAAAACACAGGTAAACAAATATAACAAAAATTTCAGTGCCAGAAGAGTTTTCTGGACAATCTTTAAGGTCCCTTCCAACTCAAACCATTCTATGATTTGATGACTCTATAAAAAGGACCAAATCTTCCCTGGAAGAATTTAGGGATATGATCATGCTCTGAAGTCAGAAGGTATGTACAGGTAGTCATGTATGTTTTGACCAAAAAGCATCATGGTGCAGATTTTGAGTGAGCTTTCAAGCACTGTCTGAAAGAAAAACCATAGTCTTCTGATTTTGAAGAGTCAGCTTAAGCTGGACGTGAATATTTTCTCCTCTCAGAGCACTTGCAAGGTGTCTAACACATCCAACAGTAATACTGTGTTCCTGTTAGACTATGCATTTCCATATTTGTTAAAGTATTTTTGTGCCTTAAGGGAATGAGCAATGCTCAGATTTGGTTATTAATTGCTATTAGGAGGAAAGTAGACTGGTACCAACAAATTTGATGGGTTTTAGAAACTTTCACCATTTCAAAAGCGCTCAGATCATAGAATCATAGAACTATTCAGGTTGGAAAAGACCCTTGGAATCAACAAGTCCAACCGTCATCCCTACTCTACAAGTTCTCCCCTAAACCATAATATCAGATAATAATACCAGATAACAGAATAGTCAGAATTGTGCAGTGACGTGTGTGCATTTGTGTGTTTCAGGAAGTGTTTTATTACTTTTGAGATGCTTGTAAATTGAAACGAATCTTATCACTGCTTTTCAATACTCCAGTTAAATAGAAAACACATGCTAAACTCTGGCCACCAGGGGTGTGTGTTAGAGTAAAAGGCTCCTTCTCAAAATGTCATACTCTGTTTGCAACAAATTTGCAGAAACATGCATTTAGAAATCCCCAAAGGATGCCTATGCAGCTATGAAGGACTTCTTTAAAACAGCACTCAAGAAAATTTGTAGGGCAGGCATGAGCAAGTGGATTGCAATGTAACATCCAGGCATAAGAGAACTCCTTTCACCACCTTGAACTAATGCTAATACTTGCTGATCTCTGAATGGGAAGCACAATGCTGGGTGTCCTGTTCCCTACAGCCAGTGTCACAGAAACCTTCCTAATAATATATATTTTGTTTTCAGGCTCTACTTAAAAATATGATAGTGAATAATCAAATATGAATGCTTTAAATAGGAAAGCTCTTACAACATTTATCTTAAGCTTTTGGTTTTTCCTCAATTTCATAAGGTACAAAAACATAACATTAAACTTCATTCTGCCAACAATTTTAATGCATAACATAGGCCTCCCAAAGCCAAGACTGCATTTTATTATAAAGTCTATTTTATATTCTAGGCTGGGATTAAAGTAGGTCTTCAAGCAGGATCCATTTCTATAAAGGAAATAGAAAGTGAGAGTGTTAAGCAAGAAAAACTAATTACCAAATGTTTGCATAAGAAATGTTTCAGAGTACTTCTCAGCTTCAGTCTTCAGGGGATCATTGAATTCAAACAGCATGCAAGGCAAAAATTTACCTAAACCACACTGTGTCCATCCTTGAATCTCATAATTTTAAAGATCAGACCATAGATAGTCTGGACATACAAAGAGCCATATGAACAGATTATAGGATGAAGAACCAAATTTTCAAGAGAAATTCTGCCCAGGAAGAACTACAGCATTTAACACAGAGGGGTGAGAGCAGGGGTGCTGTGTGGGCTCCCATGGCTACAGCTTTATAAAGATGTGTGTGGCCAAGAAACATGGAATTCCCCATCTCCAGTGATTCCTCTAGTCTATTTTCCAAATACATAAATTCCTAACAGCCTCAGCTGCACAGCAGGTCAACAGGAACAGCATAACCACTTAGGAACCAACACTGCTACCTTCTCTACCTAGAGGACAAAGGCAGTAAACAGAGTAAACAGTGTAAATAAGCACTGAAAAAACTCAAGAGAAAAGTTACTGGTTTGTCAACATAATTTAAAAATTCTTGTTTTCCTTGATCAAGTTATATATTTCAAAAGGCCACACAAGTCTGCTTAGTGAAATATTTGCTCTAGGAAAAATACTCTAGGAAAAATACTTTTTCATCTTGGCCATTTGGCCATTCATAATACAGTGGTGTTTCAAATAGGTCTTTCCACTGATTTGGGTATTATTTTAGATATCTGGGTTTTCAAATAGTAGGTTATAGAGGCTCTACTGTGACTTAATACTTAGGTAAGACCGGGCAGTTTTGATACTGAAGCAGTATTATCTAAACTGCATGTCTGAGTAGCATCCAGCATATGGAATTTAGAGAGCTTTTTCCTTCTTTCCCCACCATCTTTTGGGAGTTACAACCTTCATTTCTGAAGCTGATTTCCTACAACATCCACAGAAGCACTAACCTCATTACCACCCCCCCCCAACACTGAAGACAACTTTAAGTGACCTTTTACAACCTTAAACACTGCATACCAAACACTTAAACACTGCATTCCAAAAACGCCCAGGCTAAAGAACTTCACAATATGAGAGGATGTTATCCCTGAAAGCTGAGAAGGCTGTAACCAGTATCTGCAGAGAAGTTGAAGGAAGGGACAACACAAGACTGGAGTGACGCTTTCTCTTAACACCATCCCAGGTGCACTGAAATGGCACTGTAAGGACTTCCTTAGCTGAAGACATCAACTGTGTATGCAAGAGTCTTCAACTAATGCTTCTTTTGTGACTTGGTCCCACCAGGTTTTGAACCTACCCCAATTTCTTTGCATAAATCATTCTAGGGCAAGAAGGTGCACAGCTCAGCCCACAGCTTGGCTGTTTTGTAACTGACCTTTCCTGTTTCTTTTCTTTGTACCATTTCTAATTCACCTTTTTGAGCAGGAGGAAGGGGATCTAGAACCACAGACAATATCCAGGATGACAGGATAGAGCACCATGAATTTATACACCCACACAATGCTTTGTTCTCTTACTTTTCTAGTAATTCCTAGTAACTTATTTGTGTATTACAACGTGCTAATGTGGTTTTTCAGAAGATCTTATTATTAACACCAAGATCTCTTCATAAGTAGGTATTACAGGCATCACTGCAGATGCAAGAATTATTATTTCTTCCTGTATCTACGCTTGATTTAATCTGCTATTTTAGAGGCCAACCATTCAAAATCATGTCACCCTCCTACAACTCCTCACAGTTAAGTTTTAAACCCATCTAAAGATGCACATATGTGCACACATATTCATACACATGCACAAATACACACCCTTTTGTCTTTACAATTTTTGTTGCCTTATTCCATTTTTCCATAAAGCTTAAGACTGCACCAAAGAGCAAACTGCACAGTGTAAGTTCTTTCC